CAGATACCGAACGTTGGCAAAAATAGTACAAAACAAAGTATATGCTAGGCAACATGAATATTGGGAGGAGTTAAGCATTGATATAGAACGTATATCCATTTACCACACAAACACCCGAATCCGGTATTTTTGTTTCAGCCAGTGCCGCCACCTGAATTCGATACCGTTTTAATTGACGAACAATAAGTTCACGTTTAGTGACCCTATAACACGACCTGACATTCCATGATCCAAAAAGTGTTACCCTGGTTGTAGTAACAAGTTTGGTTTGTTCATTTTCGTTAGTCATATATTGTTTAACGTCCTACATTCGGGTGACTAGCCCTAAAATAAGACATAGTGGCTCCTGGACCCCAGGGGACGCCATCCCAGCACCGCAAGCAGTACTAGGCCCCCTGGGAGTACGTACGTACTCCCCAGTAGGAGACTTGTCAGGAGACGAATTATCATCAACATCTCGCGTTCCAATTGATCTTATTTGCGTCGTCGATCAAAGCAGATCGATGGCAGGAAAGAAAATAATCTTACTGAAACAAACGTTGATCTATATTGTTGAACAATTAAACGAAATGGATAGATTGGCGATTGTCTCATTTGACAGACAAGCATTTGATCGTTCTCATGGGCTTAAACGTATGAATCAACCAAAGTAAGTAACAGTTAGATATCCATGTTCGTTCTGTTTAGAATTTTAAAATTGACATATCCTGTATTTGATGTTTAGTCAGGAAAGAATAAAGAGAGCAATTAATGACGATATGCAAGTTGGAAGCGGAACATATATCGGACGCGGTCTGAAAATGGGTATTGACTTGTTCATTAATCGTCGAACTAGAAACCCGCTCAGCGCTTTACTCTTGCTCACCGATGGCCAAGACAATCGAATGCATAATTATTCTCAATTAATGCAGAGATTACCCAAAGAAATTCCCTGTCACACGTTTGGCTACGGACGCGATCATGAAACTGCTTTACTAGTCCAACTAGCCGAACAGAGCAATGGAGGTACATTCACATACATTGTAAGTTAAACTTTGCCTTGTTTACCATTTCATTCATACCGTTAACTCTTCAAGTTAAGAGGTTGTTATTGGTATCAAATTGAATTTATTAAACAGCACTTGTTCTTTTATGATTTACTTTTAGCGCTGTTAGTTTTGAGACTTTTGTGACGGTTGAGTTATAACGTTATTGAAAGTGATACGCACAATGAAAAATAAGCTGCACCTTGCACGATTCTGAACGATTGTAAAAGAGAACATGAAGATGTTTTGCCATTTTTAACAAACGCTAGTAAATCCGATTTATACCAAGTAAAACTACCACCATGGTATTTTCCTAAGCTCAATAGTTGTTGCATTTTTTTTGACAAGCATTATGAGTCTGTACTGTTTTCTACAGAATTATTAATAAAATTCCCGATTAAAAGCAAATGAAACAAAATGAATTTTGTAAACAATCCGATTCTACAGATGTCATACTCCACATTTGTAACTCCAAGAGAGTAGTTGCGTTAGTAATGACGTTCAAAAATGCAATACAGTTTCTGTTAGTTAGGCAACCTTGCGAAAAGTCAAATCTAAGATATATTTTGTGTTAGATGCACCAGGGTTTTGTGAATACTATAGAAGTCAATAGAGAACGAAGTTACTGATTTAAATTAGACGCGGATATGCTGTCGGAAAGAAGAAGAAAGATGCTTTTGATGAAAACAATCGAAGAATTACATTTGCACAAAATTATAAGTTCTCTGTCATACAGGATAAACACGATGCGATGGGTCCCGCTTTTGCAACAACTATGGCTGGTTTGTTGACATGTGTGGCTCAACAAATTTGTGTCAATATTGAATTTAGCGGAGAGTACCAAGTAACACATACTCACTCCAACTATAAGCATGAACCCGAGAAACTGCCGTCTTCCAAGCTTATTTTCAAGTTAAACGATCTCAATGCAGATGAAAGTCGCAATCTTCTCTTCCAGTTGCACGTACCAAAAGTACATATAGTTGCAGGACAGTCTGTAATAATGAATAGTTTAAATCCGATGCTGGAGAACTAATCACAAGAAGAACAAGAGATAGCCGAAAATCATATCATTGGTGAGTTTTTTCTATCAGTATCGGTTTTTCGAAAAATCTAGTTTCGCATAGAATCAACCTTTCTACATTTTATATTTATCAAAGCACAGTAAATTCTAATGATAACTTCAGCTGCTCTTGGTTCAGCTCTCAGATCGATCTAGTTCAATATTTTTTCTTCATAAACTGCTAAATCGATAGGAAAATGTCTAAATGAGAAGTACTCACCATTCTGAAAGACTTTTCCTACTGTTTATAGTGATTTTTTATTGCTTTTGGGCGCATATTTTTTGCCGGAAATTCAACTCGTACACAGTGAACTACCAGGTGACAACATTTTTTTTCTTTGAGCTTTAATCTTTTCAGTGGCATTAAGCACAAAAGAAACTTGACTAGTATTTTATTAAAAAAGCTTTGTTCAAAAAAGTTTTATCAAAAATACTGAATATTTGTTGTCGCCTAGCTTCCTCTTTCTGTCCATTGTACTCCCCTCCCCACAGACGTGGCAGACACGTTGGTAAATGTCGAATTTACGATGTAAGCAGCTTGATTGTATTTCATATTTTAATCCCACAGGGATTGCGCTGAGAACTTTTTTTGTATGAAGCTCATAAATCCTGATAGAAACATGTGATTGTAGATAATTCATAAACACGATAATATCAAAATCAGATTTTCATGAAAATCTTGACCAGAGTCTTCATTGAATATAAATGATGTCATGAATCAAAGAATAGCCAGCAGAATACTAGTTTTGAAAGAAGTGATATTAGTAAAATTTTCTTAAAAGATCACTATGATAAAATTCTTATTTAGAATAAAATGAATATTGTTCGTGTTACCTTAGGCCATGTGTCAGTTACATATGTCGAACCAAATAGTGAAAATACATTAACCACAACACCCGTTCCCTTCAATCTTGTCCGAGCTTCTTCTTTATCACCCGAACAACTTCAGATTAATCACGCGCTTGATGTTCAACGAAATCGGATGGAAACAGCATTCGTACTCAGACGAGCTATGAACGAAACTAATTATCGTCGATCGTTAGATCTTCTCAAAGCTCAAGTGAAAAAAATTCAAGAAAGTGTATCTGCTCAAGATCCGTTTTGTCAGCAATTGATCAAAGATCTTGAACATCGTTATCCATCAGAACGTGATTATCGTTTGTCACAAAGTAATGCTTGTATCCAACATTCATCGGAACGAAGTACTTACACTACAGCCTCTACTCCTAGTGTACTACTGTATCAGAGTCCACAACAACGACTTCAAGTTACTCGCTTCAATGAGAAATACACTTAAAAATAATAGCAATTTAGATTACTAAGATTATTATAAATCTTGATTTTAATAAAAACAATTTTGTTTGCCAAATCAACGATACGTCATCTAATTTCAATCTAACCATGTATACTGCATTGTAAAAAGATTATAGAACAATAAATCCTCGAAAGATTTTAGAATCGAATAAAATAAGGTAATGAGGACATAGAACTCTTACTTAAGATTAGATTATTTTACAGATATATCACAAGACTTTGTTATCTTACAACTAATAGTACAACTTAAAATAATTCTTGATACAGTACTCGTTGAATAAGATTAGATTATTTAATATATTAGATCAATCTCCGTTGCTATCTGATGCTCTTGACAATCTTAACGTCATGCGAATTCAGAACAATGTGATTTTTAACTGTTGAATATATACTACTCGAGCTGTGAATTACCTGTAGGCAGAGGGTGTGGGTGGAGGTTCCATGAAAAGCGAGACTCAGAACTCACACCAATCGACACGCACAACCACATTCACGGTCACACGCCCACACCCCATACCCAACATGTTCAACAAGATTAAATATGAGAAAGCGAGAAAAATCTAAATCAACCTGTAGAGAAAAAAAATACATGGACTAGAAAATTGAAAAAAAAAAGAAAACGAATTGCTTCATTTCTCGACGTGAGAAATTGTTTTTTTTAGTGAATAATCGTATTATAATAAGAGACTAACAGTGAAAATGTTTACAAATTAATTTTTCCATAACGAGATGCTGGCAGAATGCTATGGGACTAAATATGTTCTTTTTTCTTCAACAGTTTTTACAAGGATTCACAATTAAAATAACAATGAAATCGTCACGTGTATAATAAAGTATCTTTCCGATACAATCAAATATGTTCTTGTATAATAATTATCGGTTTGAATGGTGATGAATATATTTTTCTTTGATTTTTATTCTTGTCGATTTTCTGTTTGTTAAGAATCTGATTATTCGATTTCCCATAAAAATACTAGAGGATACATGAGCTAAGCCTGTAGTACGAAGGACATCTCCACACTGAGCTCATTGTTTATAAAACTTTCAACTTAATCAACATATCAAATTTAGCGACAGATCGTTGATGGAATTTAAAAGTATAATTTTATTCTTGAATAGGAAAATTAATTTAATGTAGTTTCTCTAGATGCATTTGTAAAATTGAAGACTAATAATCTACTTCAGTTACCATTAAATCAAACTGAAAAGCATATCACAATTGATCCAAGTCAGTATATTATTGAAAAATAAAATACATTTTATAATTTTTATGATTAGATGAATTTCAAAATCTTGACGTAACATTAATATGTTACAAAATTCATTTAAAAAAGAAAAATGAAGAAGTTTTTGCTTATTTATTCAAAAATGTTAATCCAACTGGTATTTGGTATGATATGAATATTCGTGATGGTGATCGTTTAGTTACTTTAAATGGACAAAATGTAACACAATTATCATACGAAAATATTTATTCATTAATAATCGAAAAAAAACTTCCATTTACATGTGAGGTAGTCTGGCATCCAGAGTTATATATTGATTTAGGTGAGAATTATTCAATGTACGGTTATTGAGAATTTATTATCACTTGTTTTTGAGAACGAATCAATTCCTAATTAAATCAACAGATAGGGTGTGGATGTGGGTATGAGAGTGTAGGGAATTGTTGAAAAGACAATCAGCACGCACATCCATACCCACACCTTTATTTACGAGGGAACCGTTTCAAGTGATTCACGCCGATTTTGCTTATATTTTGCCCATATGTAGGGGTCAGTATGCTAAGAAAAAGCCTAAGAGGATTTAGGCCCATGTTGCTTCTTTCGAGGGTTATGGCCATTTTACTGATTTTTCGGCCTATGACAAGGTATTTACAAAAAATTCAAATGACGAAATTATGTCTTGAAATNATGTTCCTTTTTTAAATAAGTATTTACTGGTTCTTTGTAGCATTAAAATTACTGCATACCGCAAGAATATCAACTGCTCAACTATAAAGTCAGAAACGCGTAAAATTCAACTTTTGCCAAATTAGATTGAGTTCGAAATTCTCTTTCTTGTGGTAGAAGATGTAGACTTTTTTTCCGCATCTAGTGATGTGTTGGATTTGATAAGCTAAGTTGCTGCTCCTTCGAAAACTACAAAACATCAAAAGGATGCTTCACGTCCACGGAATCGAGCTTATCTTTAGTAGTTTTCTAAAAAGTCGGTGTTACAAAAGAACTCGTTTTCATACAAACAGACGCCGAGGGTCAAGGTCTACAAAATGTACTTCGTTATACGAGCTCATCTCTTTGTCTAACTAAATGGCGAGGTTGCAAAGTTTTCCTTGACATGAAAGGACACCAAAAACTGATAATTAGGCATATTTTGCACGAGGTTTTTAAAATAGTAAAGCTTTTTATAAAAATTTGGTTTACTGTCAAAAACTCAAATACGTTTTCTACTTTTCATAGTGTGTTTGAATAGCTATAGAAAATTTACTTAATGAATAATAATGAAATTTTATTCCTGTGAAGCCCTGAACAGTTGATGTTTCTGCGGTATGCAGTAATTTCAATGCTACAAAGAAACAGTAAATGCTTATTTAAAAAAGGAACATGTGAATAATATCTGCACGAAATTCTCTATCTCTTAGCGTCAGAGTAAAACTTTCTACTCAAGTGAAAATTTGAGAAAACAACCCATCAAAAACAGGCGATTTCTTCTGCCGCACATGTTATTTATGCATTTCCAATATAGTTAATATCGTTTCTGGGGTTTTTAGATGATGAATGGTTGTTGTAATACTCCTCCAGAATGTGGAACCTTAATTTAATCTCATGATGAAGTTTTATTCACGTAAACAGAAAAAAAGGGCTCTTCTCTTTCTTTCCTACTTTATACAATTTTCATCCTTAATAATCTTGAATACATAGGTGCATACTGTTATGATTTGTATTGAAAACAATAGATCATATATTCCGTTCATGTTCATGAAGGATGGGTGTGGGTGTGAGTCTTGATGGATACATTCTCTTGATACCCAGATCCAGACCCACACTCATCCACACCCACATCCTCTATCTCATCCCTCTCACCTCTCACTCCCCTCCCCCTATCTGCCATTTCTCCTCCTCTCCATCTCCTCATATGAGTGTAGGTTTTCGATGATTTTATTTCACTGACAGCCACACAACAAAGTAAGTCATTCACTGTTTCCATTGCATGACATTTTCATTGCGGGTTCGTCTGGTCTTTCTTTTTCAAGCATTGGATTCCAAGTTGAATCTTTGTACTCGTTGATTTCCCCAATCAACGACATAAAGATTACCGTGTCGATCGAATGACAAACCGACGGGTCCATAGAGTTGGTTCGATTGTCCTCCTGCACCGTTTTCACCAACAATGACACTTGCCTGTGTGGCTCCTATGGGCCAACGAATGATTCGAGCATTCCCTCCATCAGCAACATAGACAGTGCCCAATTGATCGACAACGACTCCTGTAGGACGTGAAAATTGTTCGAGACCATTTCCTTCTCCTTGACCACCAGCCACGATAATGCCTTGTTTTGCACTTTCCACCCATTTCATTACACGACGATTTCCCCATTCAGACACGTACACTGAATGATCTCGATCGATGAATATGTATTGTGGGTCAGAGAGTTGATCGAGGCGATCTCCACGTCCATTTCCACCAGCAACCACTGTTCCTTCAGATTCTCCTCTTCGATATCGTCTCACTTCACTTTTTCCAATGTCAGTGACATAGAGAGATCCATTTTCGTCCATTTTTAAACTCCGACAATCGATGTTGGACATGATCGTTTCTCCACTTGTCCCATTTCGAAGAGGCCATCGAACCACTCTTCTATTCGAATAATCACAGATGATGATACTATCAGTGTCTCTGTCTACGATCACATCGAATGGGCTAGACAACTGATGAGCTCCACTTCCTTGTCCATTTCCACCGGCAACCACTTGACCACTCGTCGCACCCAATGCCCATTTCATTATACGATGATTCAACTGATCAGCTACATAGACAGTTTGATCATCATCAACATACAAACCCCATGGAGAAAAGAGTTGATTGACTGCATTGCCTCGTTCATTTCCTCCAGCCACAGTGATGCCGTTTTGTTGCCATTGAGCATTGACAGGAATATTGGGAATCACTACAAGGAATGAGGAAAGGAATCGGAATCGTCGCAAGATAAAGAGGTGCCCAAGCAGAGAAGACAATTCAGACATGTGTGTAAGCGCGCTAGTTTTCGACCGTTTTCGTATGTCAATCGAGGTTCCCGATTGTGTGTCACTAACAGTTATAAATAATTGACGTTCAAACGATAAATTTTTCAAATGGCTAAAATTTTTGACGTTTCAACCGTAAAAATGTTCAACATTTTCCTATCCATCTTTTCCAAATGTTAATGACACATAATCGGGAACCGCAATACCATCTGAAAACATTCGGGATTTTTGGGCGTTTAAATGTAGAAAATCTTTATCGCATTGAGATTCTTTTTCTCCAAACGTTACGGACCCACAATCGGGAACCCTGATTATCATTCAAAAAAGTTTGAGAATTTTTGACCGTTTTTACGTGTGTGATCTGGGAAGATTTCTCTATCACACTTCAAAACCACAATAAATATTTCAAACCCACTCAAAGGTTTCAAACCCTGCTACTCTTCCACCTATACCCTTACAACTGCAGTGCTGGTCAAAATTATAGAACCACCTATTCGAATGAAATTGTTTGATGAATTTCAGCCACTTCGATTGTGTAACGTAGGGTGTGGGTGTGGTGGGTGTGGATCAGAGACCGAAACGAGTCAGAAAAACAAGGATTCGACTCGACTCGACTCAAAAACAAATTTTATTATTATTCTTCTATCACTGATTCTCAAGACAATAGAATAACTAAAGCGGATGATATAAGGATAGGAACATAATTAAAACTTTCCTGACTAATTTTCAACCACTTTGGGAGCTAGGGAGAACTCTACAATACATTTAGTGACTGAACAAGGAACGTTGCATGTTGGGACAAATGTGAGCTATTGTAGGAGAAAATACATGCGTATTTAGCATAGCTGTCACATATGTTGTCATAACTCAGCTGTGACTAAGAAGAGTGTATGCTGTTTCATGTATTCGCTACAGAAAGAACTAACTATTACCCCCCATCCCTTGTCTGAAACTACTAACTTGAAAATTTTTAGTAGTAACACTAACCTATAACTTAAAAAATTTCGCCAGCTACCCCATCCAATAGATTGTTGAGATAGATTATTTTCAAGAATAAGTGCTGAAATTATTTTGTTCCAATTATTTGGCCATTTCGTAAAATTGTTAAAACTAGCTCAAATTGTGAATAAAAGTTAATCAAAATAACTAGCAACTTGACAAAAACGGCAATTAATACTAAGGAAATCAAAGCGCAACAGTGTGTAATGAATAATGGTCGAAGTAGAAGCCAAATTAGCGAAGAAAGTAGTATCATGTTTACACCAGTCGAACTCGTGGACGTATGGAAGTCTGAATGTTTGCAGATCAGAAACAGCAAAAGTAACGTGTATTCTAACGGACAATGAGAAATAAATAAGTTCCCTTCACTTCCTCAAATTGATCGTTGTTCTGAGAATGGAATCGGGTTCTCTCTAGAGTCAACTGATGAAATCAATCAGCCGTGCCTAAAAAATCGAGTTCTTCGAGTCTGATTCGACTCGACATATATCTTAAGAGGTCCGACTCGACTCGATCTGAGTCGAGTCGATTTGCCGAGTACTCAACTCGATTTCGGTCGCTGATGTGGATGTGGAGTTCAAGAAGACCAACACCCACACCCATAACAATCAAAATTTTCTATAAACCGATTCTAGTATTTCTACTTAATAGTTAACTATAAAGCTTTGGATTTATCTTATACCATTTGATAATAAAAGATTGAGCTTTTCCCGAAAACTAAGAAGGAAACGTTGCGATCTTACCACACAAATCAATGAATGAAATACTTCAAAAAAAGAAATTGTTGACTGCATTCGGCCACTACTATTAAGATTATATGAATTCAAACAGTGGAAGGATAGTACAGATCTTTCAAATAAAGCTCATTTTTTATAGCATTCGAAGTTAAATCATTTCTTGTCTATGTAAATACAAAAGCATTTTCTTTACAAAGAATCATATGTAGTATAGTATGGAATGAAAAGAAGGAATGAAATTCGTTTTGAGATAGTACCAAACGAAGCAAACTTCGATAGTGAGGGAAAATAGCCAACATGAGAAGAAGTTTGGCTAGATTTTTCTCTTATCATAAAGATCGAAGTACTCATAGTATCAGATTACTGGTTTTATCAATGTCGTTTTCATTTAGCTGCGAGTAATTCTGCCTACAAATGAACTGCATATGCTTGATTAAAAATTAGTATTCCCTAAGATCAAGAAGCGTTTATCCAATGCTTACCCAGTTGTTGAGCAGTGGTTGTCGTTGTAATTGAAATTGTAGTTGTAGTTGAATTTGTAGTGTTCAGCGCTATTCATTATCATAGAACATTTGCATAAATAAAGAAGATAGTCTA